GGAGGGGCGTGCGGGTAGGGAAGTGTTGGCCCGCGGGAGCAGCGACACCGGGCTGGGTGGAGGCTTTGCCGGAGCCGGGTTCCTGTGAGCGGCATCCCTCCAGTAGGCCCCGTCGGGGGCACGTTGAACCAGAGCACTGAGCGTTGGGCAAGCCCTGCTGTCGGGGTGGAGTTCAGCCTGAGGAAACCTGGCCCCTTAGGGAAAAATAAGAAGAGAGCCCTTAGAAGAAGTTCTCCTTTCGTGTTGTCTTATGGCAATGCTGGATTGCAGGCTTCAAAGTTGAAAAATGTGCTATGGCTGCGCTGTGAGGCTATGTTAAAACACAGCCCCGGTCCCGGTGGTGTATCTATTGCAGGTGCAGCAGGGAGAAAAATCTTAGGGATAGATAGATAGATAGAAACTGAAAAACCTCGCTGCGCAAAATGTGTGATGGGCATAGAAGCTGTCAGTGCAGATGCTCACGAAGTGCCTCGGGTCAGACGGGAGCACCGAATCACGGCTAAAGCCTGCCTCTTCCTGACAGGCTTCAAAAGTTTTAGGGACAGACTATAAGCATCTCTTGGGAAATTTCCATTCAGCCTGTGCAGGCTGTAAGTGGAGGAGGAGTACCGCTTCACAGGAGGTTTACTGTGTTGTGTTGGTGATACATTGCAAGCTGCTGAGGAGACTACAGAAGGCGGGTTTGAGAGCTACGTGCTAAAATCAAGAGAGAAGTGGGCTTTGCTGCACTTCAGATAACACTGGGGCCAGGACGGCAGTTTGCGTGCAGAGCTGAAGTAGAAAAAACAAAGTCTGAAAAACTGTGGAGAAACTCTCTTCACTGAGACTATAATTTGAACTAAAGAATGTGCATAAGGGCAAGTGTGAGCAGTATAGCTACCGCCCGAGACAAGAACTGGGCCATCTTTGATTTTAGATTGTAGAATTTCTTCCCGCTACCGTCTCGTCCAAGACCAATTCCCATTATGAAGGGTAAAAATTAAAAATGGAAAGACCTTTTTTGTTTCTTATAAACCTTATATTGAAACACAAAAAGTTATGTTTGATACATATTCCCTGAATAGCTCTGGTCTATTCTAAAGAACTAGTTGATTGTATACATAATCTTTTGATATTTAAGTATGGTCTTATTCCACATACCTACCATAGGCTAAGTACCAGTTGAGTGGAGTACACTGGTGGGAGAGAACACGGGGCAAATATTTGTGATGTAAAATACAGTGTAAGTAATCTTTGTGTATTTTTAGCTGGCCAACTTCCTACACGCATTGTGACAACCCCAGTGAAAATGTTCTATAGATAAATAGAAATACTGTATTTTAAAAGACTATTTAAAGATAAGTTTCAGGGGGTTTGAAGTTACTAGAATGCATAATTGCTAACAGCTTATTACAGCTTATGCTGTTTCTCACTTGCTCATGGTTGAAGCTCACATGTAATCGAACTACCTCTAGCATAGCATCAAAAAGAAACTCATGAAACTTTTTTACTATTGAGAATGTAAAAATAGAAGAATGACAATGTGGCTGCTGTGGAAGCAAAGCAAGTGTGTCCTGGTTTTATCCATGCATAAAGATCACTAACAGGGACAGCAATTTAAAGGTTGTTTTACAAGGTACACCCAAGGCTAAAATGATATATACTTGTAGCGTAAAACAATTGATGTATTGAGTTTATTCACATTTTTTTCAGCAGATGAAATAGATTCAGATGGCATGTTTGGTTGTTTTCTTATGAATGTGTATATTTTGCCTCAGGGTAGTATGATTTTTTTCTGATAGCTAATCATTATTATGCAGTTGAAAATGGACTACTCCATTATTTGCTTAGTGACTTTTCAAAACATCAGAGAAGTGCATCAGTTGAAAATAGAATCATAGAATCACCGAATGGTTTGGGTTGGAAGGGACCTTCAGACATCATCTGGTCCACCCCCCCCTGCCATGGGCAGGGACATATTCCACTGGATCAGGTTGCTCAAAGCCCTGTCCAACCTGATCTTGAACACTTCCAATGATGGGGCACCCACATCTTCTCTGGGCAACCTGTGCCAGTGTCTCACCACCCTCATCGTAAAGAATTTCTTCCTTATGTCCAATCTAAACTCACCCTTTTTCAGTTTAAAACCGTTACCCCTTGTTCTGTCGCTACAGGTCCTGGTAAAAAGTCTCTCTCCATCTTTCTTACAAGCCTCTTTTATGTACTGAAGGGCTGCAATAAGGTCTCCCCGGAGCCTTGTCTTCTCCAGGCTGAACAACCCCACCTCTCTCAGCCTTTCTTCATAGGAGAGGAGTTCCAGCCTTCCCAAATGGGAGACCCCCATCTTTGTGGCCCTCCTCTGGACCCCCCGCTGTAACAGGTCCATGTCTGTCTTGTGCTGGAGGCCCCAGAGCTGGATGCAGTACTCCAGGTGGGGTCTCACGGAGTGGAGCAGAGGGGGAGAATCGCCTCCCTCCATCTGCTGGCCACACTTCTTTTGATGTGGCCCCCGATACAACTGGCTTTCTGGGCTGCAAGCGCACATTGCTGGCTCACGTCCAATTTTTCATCCACCCGTATCAGTTTACATCAGCTGAGAATGTAAAAAACATATTGCTATCCAATAGTGGGAGCCTTGATAAAGCTATTATTAACTTCAGAAAATACTGCTGTTTATAAGTTAATGGAAAATGGAATGAATATTTGATTCTAACTAATCGCCAATGTAATATACCGCATAATATAGCAAAGCACGTTACAAACAAAGTTTAATTTGTTCTTCAATTTTGTGTAATAAAAGGGTTTGGTAATTTTTCCCCACCTGCCAACTGAATTTCAGAATCTCACCAACCTTAAATATATGGAAATGTTGAGACAAACCTCTGTTACTGGAGATCAAGGAGCAGAGAGGAGGTAGAGGAGTCGGGAATGAAGAAGTGAAGTTGAGCCTGGGATAAAGGGGCGGAGGGGGGAAGGTGTTGTGTTAATTGTCTTTGTTTCTTGGTATCCAAATCTATTTTAATTGGCAACAAATTAAACTAATTCCCCAAGTCAAGTCTGTTTCCCATGATGATAATTGTTAAGTGATCTCCCCATCTTTATCTTGACCCATGAGCTTTTTCACCCTATTTTCTCACCCTGTCAACACAACACCTTCCCCCCTCCGCCCCTTTATCCCAGGCTCAACTTCACTTCTTCATTCCTGACTCCTCTACCTCCTCTCTGCTCCTTGATCTCCAGTAACAGAGGTATGTCTCAACATTTCCATATATTTAAGGTTGGTGAGATTCTGAAAGATAGTTGGCAGGTGGGGAAAAATTACCAAACCCTTTTATTACACAAAATTGAAGAACAAATTAAACTTTGTTTGTAACGTGCTTTGCTATATTATGCGGTATATTACATTGGCGATTAGTTAGAATCAAATATTCATTCCATTTTCCATTAACTTATAAACAGCAGTATTTTCTGAAGTTAATAATAGCTTTATCAAGGCTCCCACTATTGGATAGCAATATGTTTTTTACATTCTCAGCTGATGTAAACTGATACGGGTGGATGAAAAATTGGACGTGAGCCAGCAATGTGCGCTTGCAGCCCAGAAAGCCAGTTGTATCGGGGGCCACATCAAAAGAAGTGTGGCCAGCAGATGGAGGGAGGCGATTCTCCCCCTCTGCTCCACTCCGTGAGACCCCACCTGGAGTACTGCATCCAGCTCTGGGGCCTCCAGCACAAGACAGACATGGCTCTACCTCCTCTCTGCTCCTTGATCTCCAGTAACAGTCCAAGGTCAACCCACCGTGACTTCACTGGGCTTCAGAGCAGAGCCTATTTAAAACTTCTTTGCTGTCTGAAAGCAGAGTTGGCTCAAGGCTTCTCAGCGACCTAGGCAACATTTACTCTTGGTATCAAAAAGGTGAGGAAGCCCAGGGCCACGCTGCATCTGTCACAGGGAAGATGGATGCAAAGACAGAATTAGGGTGCCTGAAAGGGGAAGAGGAAGGTTTCTGGGCCTGCAGATCCTGCTGCAAAACTGGGAGGAGGAGTGCAAAAAACAGCAACGGCAAAAAATGGGGAGAGAGCGAGCCTCAGCCTTAGCAGTATCAGCAGCTTCACACACCCCACCTCTCCCCTTGGCAGCAGCAGCAGCAGCAGCCCAGGGCTGCCAGGCACTGGCACGTGCACCGCTGGCAGCGAGGCCGGCGACTGTTTT